AGATTAATGGAATAATAATAAAATCAGAAAAAAGTAATGCTACTGTTTACAAGCAATAGCCCTCCCCTACACTGTCAAATGATTGGAAAAAACAGTAAAGAATACTCTACGGTGGAAAAAGGCGAAGAGAAGTTGCGGCCTACAAACCAATGCAAGAAGGAAAAAAAGCAGAAAAGAGAAGAGAAGAGATGAACCACAAAGGATAATCAAAAGGCCAGCCAAGCTACATAATAAAAAAAGCCAACATTATTACCTCTCATCTCCAGCATTATTGTCTGCTAAAAGAGTAAAAGGTATTCTTTGATTCTATTCAGGTTAGTTATGATACTTCTCAAGTGTGATACAGAAATATAAAGGAAGGTTTTCACCATTTCTCAAAGTGCTCATAGGCCACGGTGTTGCGCATGTGGCATATAGGATTATGCCAGAGGACAAGGTTGTGTCCTAACCCCTGCCATTTCAGGTTGGTATCAACTATTAGGTATCATATATTTTCTACAGATATGAAAAATTTCAACAGTTCTATTTGAAATAGTTCTGTTTGGTTATCAGAATGGAATGGTCAATAGGTTTTTGATTTGCCAAACACGAGTTGTGATCCAAAAATTTGAAATGGAAGGAACTGGTTGCTTTTTATGGGGAAATGAAATGGCTCCAGTTTTGCCAAACAGGACCCAAACTATTCTCATATTAGACACTGTGCGGGCAAAGGTTAAGAATAGGTTGTCTCAAGTGGACACCTATATTAGTACGGGGTTCAAGATTCTTAGGCCTTTGCCGGTTTGACCGCCAGGAAAAGTGTTAGTGGGGGAAAATTCTTGGTAGGATATAAGTGAACAATGTTATATAGCACGAATCGCAAGCTAGGGTTTTGGTACTCATCTCACGATCCATTGAATCTATGGTAATATCATACTTCAACACCTCCTCATACACCCCATTCCCCTCCAGGATGGCTTCATCCTCTTAACCCCAAACAACATAAACCTCCCACTCACCAAACCCTCGGCAACCTTTTAGAGGAGTTTTGCGCACACCCAAAGTGTCATACAACCATATTACAACTCGCGGAAGGCGTAGGATAGCAGCATCCAGAATTCAATATCCAGTAATGCACAGAAACCCCTAACCCCCGAGTCCTAGCACTAGCGGCGGTAGGGTTTGGCCAAATTGATTTCACCCAAATTCAAAATCATCTCCCACTTTGCTCATTTTCAACAAGGCCGCTTACGGACAATTATTTTGACTCTTAATTGAACAGGACAGCGTTACAAAGGGTGTAGCATGATATAAAGAACTTATACGAATAGCCTAGGGAAAGAAGTATTCTAGAAAACCAAAATGGGAAAAGGAGCAGGTAGAAAAACGAATGACTGATGATCCGGGCACAGACGGCTGAGTAGAGAGACATAGGGGGAACGGATGATGTATGAAAACAACTGACAAGGGAAAATAGGTCGCCATTTATCCTCAACTTATCAGACAGATCCCCTCCTGCCTACTCCCAGCATATACCAAATCCTTTATCACATTCAATTACGGCGGGCTCTCACTGCTGTGTCATTGCCGGTTCTTCTGATTTCCTGTCGGGGACCGGAGCACATGAGAGGGGGTATGATCCGATCGAGGATGTGGAGGGCCAGGGACGGAGGCTGTCCTTCCAGTATTAACAGCAGTAAAGGGCCAGGAGTAGTCGGATACGTGTTTTATGCTGCAGGCCTGTAGCCTAACTGATGCCTCTCAAAGCTCAACATGTAGAATAGCGGTTGTGTCAGAATGCGGAAGAGTTAGCGTTGTTTAGGTAAGCGGGGGTAAGAAGCGGTGCAGTAGGGCCAGGCTTGCTACAAGAGCTCTTGTGGAGCAGATATGCGTGACCGGTGGAAAAAGTGTTGGAATACGTGTCCCCTCGTTCTTTATTTCTTTGTGCGCTATTCTCTTTTAGATTTGCCTGATCTTTATAGAGAAACTCACTACTGCACTTACTATGTTGGGTAAGTCATGCGGTAAGAGAGAAATCATGGTAACGAAGAATACTGTAATGGTGTACGTATATCAGAAGTCAAGTTTATAGCGCATTTGGTTTCTATGAGTAGTGGCGGATTTCCCCCCATTGGCAGGGAACCAAGGAATATACTTTGTGCAATTTCAACAAAAAGATCCCCGCCCAGCAGCTATATTGGCGCACAGAGGTGTAGGGGTAGATACACGTCGACGTACGGCAGTTTGAAGATATATGGTCCTTCCTATCCGATGAAAAGTTAAGTGTCGCTGGTATTGATGTAGCATTGAATATCGGTAGTGCTCGGTAGCCGTAAATTTAGTACGAGTACAGTACTGTATACAACTCCACACGAACTACGCCCCCTAACCATTATATTTCTTCTATTCTTCCCCGCCCAGCCTAAAACCGTCTTCACAGGTATGGAATAACACATTCACCTCTCCCGCCGACAAATCATAGTTTCTCGCGACCTATCTACTAATCGATGAGGTGGGAGATCTACTGCAAGACTCTTGCGCTGCTAGTAGTGTGGCCACTCCGCTCTAGAGGGGGGGTTGGGTGGGTATGGGTTCTGGTTGCCCAATCGAGTTTTAGATAACTATGCTTGGGCAGCATTGGAAGACACCTTGATCTGAACGCCAAAGGTGATGATACGAGTACGGTAGATGACCTTTCTTGGACGCACACCGACAGGATCCCTGCTCCGCAAGATACAAGTGACCTGTTTCTTTCAAGCATGCATTGCCATACGAGAATAATCCTAGGAACCCGCTTGGCTGGAGGGCCAATGGAAATCTGAAACGGGCATTGCACAGTACGAGTAGTTGCACCCCTGATTCAAAATCATACAAGTATCCCTTATCCGTGTGCATACTGGTTAGTCCTGGCAGTTGTGCAGTCTGGAGCTTTCTGCTGCGCCCCCCTCTAACACTATTTTTCTGTTCCTAGGAATTGCGCTGGTACTTTAATCAGCTTCACCTCTATCACATACGCGTGCTAGGAAACCTGTGCTCAGTAGATTATTGGTTCGCCCTACCGCCGATGCTGTTACGAAAATCGAGTTGATCGACCTAACGACATGAATACGGTACCGGTACAGTACTATAATTGCGCAACGCGCAATGTATGATGATAGTTCAAATTTCCCTTCTCTGGAAATGGGGGGCAAGAAATCATGAATGCGAGTCCCAGCGCGCGGTGGTCAAGTTAAACTTAGCGCCACAAGTGCATGTGATTCTCAGTGGGGAGCAGTCAACTGGTATTCCTTGTCTAAACCCAAAATAGTCCCCGCACTAATCCCTGCCTCAACATCCTAGATAGACTTGTTATAGAAGGCGCTGTATAGTACGAGGTACTGTACCAGTACCAGTGCATTTTGGATTTGGAGGGTTGCTCTGTCTGCCAGCAAATGTAGTCCCGCTACTAATTTACTGTACTCGGGTTTGACCATGTGGTGTGGGATGGGGGGGAGTGTATACCTCCAGTACTTTATACTCTTCGAGTAGCTTCTCCGTAAACGAGCCATCATCTCAAAGGTCACTTGTGACCTCCAGAGATCATTCCAATTATTTGTTCCATCATCGTATCCGATAGCGAGGTTCGTCCGATAGGACCTGAGAAATGTGAGATATTGCAAACGCCTATAGTACTAAGAATTGGGGAGTCGACCGAACGGTTTCCAAGCCCCGGTTGTCCAACAGGAGTTGTACAATCTTTGATAAGCTACTACAAGATTAACTTGATAGATGGAGGCTGGTAGTCTACTGTGAGGATTCATGAAGCTAAGAGGTGTTGAGCTTAAATTTCTTGTACAGTACCCAAGTGTTGGGGCAACTGTATTCGAAATGCCAATTAACCCATAAACTGAGTGATAGCTGTAAGGTATAAGTTAACTGTGGTGCCTCGAAAGGGATACATCCCTATCGCCGATTCTCCAACTCGTAAATACCTCCTAATATGAAGGGATTCTTGTGAAAACCACAACCGGGTTGCCCTTCGCCAAAGTTCCCCGATCCCCAAAGAACCTATCATACCGCAGATACCTGAAGTTAAGGGATTTTATATAGAGAAGAGTAAGATCTTAGCATCAATAGCTATGAGTAGTTTGGCATTTGGCACCAAAAATTAGCAACTTCAAGGACTCGCAACTCCTCCGAAAACAGTTCAGAACCGGTCAAAGCAGCGTTGTCGGCTTCGCAATTTCTCAGGTTTTCCTGAGAAAAAAACCGGGTGATCCCTGCCAGTCCCACGCTAGCATTGATAGCTAAAACTCAATCCTATGTGACCTTGCTGAGTACCCTCTCTACGGAAAACAAATATGATAGGGGATTAAAGCTATCTTTTGTTCACCACCCAATTCTTCCGATATATTGCTCTCAAAATCTATTGAGAGGATTTGATTCCGTTATCCCATAGGACGAATCCTATGCGATTCTAAGAGGTTTAGCGTATCTTAATTCCTCCAGAAAAGTGATTAAGAGGTTTCTGGATGTCAAGTTGAACCACTTTTAGTGTGAAATGCCTAACTACTCATGAATTTAAGTGCCAAGATCGTACTTTACAAGCACTATATGATATATGATACCAGCACGGGTACCTGTAGTACGGCAAACCTAGCAGGTCTCCTGGTTTCATCATTAATATCTCTTGAAAAGTGGCTGGAAATTTGCGTGTAATGACTCTTTAAAGATGCAGGAAAGCGTTGGCCTATATTCCTGACTCTGTCCATCACTTCTGGAAGTTTGCATCCCCGGGTGTGGTTTGTCGAATGGAAAAGGGTCGTGTTGCGGCTCACGCATCCCAACCCTAACCCTGCACCACCACTCCACTAACCCCACACCAAGAACAACCATAGCGTCAAACATCAGAGCATTGCCAGGAATTGGCAATGAACCTATTATACTTCCGACCCCAATACTCAAATTCTGACCCCGACTCTAAATCTCCACCACCTCCAGACCACCTCCTTCTATATCAACCGCAGTCTACTCCCCACATAATGGACATCCCCGCCTTCGCAGAAAAGCAAATAGAGCTTCTCCAGGCCGAACGCGATGCAGACATAACTCTACAAACAGCCCTCCTTGCAACCCTGCCACCCATCGCTCTTCTCCGCCACGGCTTCGCACTGACAAACCTCCTCCCAATCTCCCAACGCACCGGTTTTGGCGGACGTACAATCATAGACCTCGAACCCGACCCGGCAATATTCCGCACCGGTCTTCTTCCCCCACATGGGATCCGCCAAGGCGACATAGTCCGAGTAGAAGCGCAGCCAGGAGGCTCTGCTAGTAAGAAGGAGAAAACCGACGTTAAGGCTGTTGGGGTTGAGGGGGTCGTGCATAGGGTTTTTGAAGGACGGCTTGCGGTTGCGGTGGAGGCTGCGGGGGATGAGGTTGATAGGGTTTGGACCGGGAAGAGGTTGTGGGTTGTGAAAGTTGCGAACGAAATTACGTTCAAAAGGATGGAGAAGGCTATGGGGTTTTTGAAGGCTATGGGGGAGAAGGGCGACATAATCGGGTTGGCGGACGTTCTATCTGGGAGGAGGGCTGCGAGGGAGGTCGGAGAAGGGTACGAGAAGATGGAGGTGAACTGGTTTGATGAGGGGCTGAACGATAGTCAGAAGCAGGCTGTTAGATTTGCGCTCGCGAGTGAGGAGGTTGGTGGGTTGTTATTTCTTTGCGGGATAGTAAATGGGTGGTTGCTCACTATAATACCCATACAGCGCTGATACTTGGACCCCCGGGAACCGGAAAGACACAAACATTACTGGAAATTATCCTCCAACTTGCCACTCCTCCAAAAACAAGCTCGTCTAGTCCCCCGAGCCCAAAGAAGATCTTGGTATGTGGGCCATCAAACATATCAGTGGATAACATAGTCCTCCGCCTCCCATCCTCTCTCCCAGTAATCCGTATGGGGCACCCGGCCCGCCTCCTCCCAAAGGTTATAGAACGCAGCCTGGATAACTTAACCCGTACCTCTGAGCAGGGTGAGATAATCACCGATGTGCGAAATGAGATGGACGACCTCCTATCGAAGCTCAAATCGACCGGAAAGACTCGGATGAAAGGTCGTGCCCGAAAAGAAGGCTGGGAAACAGTCCGCCACCTCCGGGGGGAATACCGTGAGCGAGAGAAGAAGTGTGTTACTGAGATTGTTAGGTGGAGCGAAGTGCGTACCCCATTCACACTTGAGTGGCAGGGTGTGGGCTAACAGTGTGTAGGTTGTATTAGCGACACTCCATGGCGCCGGCAGCAAACAACTCTGGAGCGAGAAATTCGATGTTGTAATCATTGATGAAGGCTCGCAAGCCCTCGAGGCGCAGTGTTGGATTCCACTACTATTAACAAACAAATCTGGCATTCAAAAATTGATACTAGCCGGAGATCCAATGCAACTGCCACCAACAATAAAGTCGCAGACAACAGGCGCTATCCCAAAAACCCCAAAGACAAAAACAGAAATACCGGATTCGCTGGAAATAACGCTATTCTCGAGATTACTAGCCATTCATGGCGGAGGGATCAAGTGCCTGTTAACCACGCAATACAGAATGCACGCGACGATTATGCACTTCCCTAGTCAGGAACTGTATAACGGCTCCCTGATTGCTGCACCCTCAGTTGCCGAGAGGTTGTTATGCACGTCACTCCCCTACCCTGTAACCAAGACCGAAGACACCTCCATTCCACTGCTATTCATTGATACACAGGGCGGCCTCTTCCCCGAAGACTCGTCTCCGCCCACCCCCAGCACCAAATCCCCAGCCTCAGAGTCAAAGTCCAACACTCTTGAAGCACGCCTCGTCGCAGCACACACCCACGCCCTTATCGCAGCTGGAGTCCGCCCAGAAGACATCGGCGTGCTAACACCCTACTCCGCCCAAGTCTCGCTCATAACGAAGCTTCTCCGCGGCACGTACCCAGCGGTAGAAGTTAACACCGTAGACTCATTCCAAGGACGGGAGAAAGAGGCGGTGGTGTTCTCGCTCGTGAGGAGTAACGACAAAGGGGAGGTGGGATTTTTGAAGGACAAGCGGAGAGTGAATGTGGCTGTTACTAGACCGAGATGCCATCTTTGTGTTGTTGGTGATGCGGAGACTGTGGGGCAGGGGGGGAAGGGGACGTTTCTAGGGAGGTGGATTGGGTGGCTGGAGAGTGCTGAGGGGGTGGAGGTTAGGTATGCGGATGTGGGGGAGATGCTGGCGGGATGGGCGGGAGGGATTGAAGTTGAGGGGGATGATTAGCAGGAGGGTTGTGGTGGTGGTGGTGGTGACCCTGAATACTCGTAAGGTCTGGGTAGAATTATTTGCCATGATTATATTGGGAAAAATGCGGACTACGTTTACGCAGCCCATCTTCTAAATCCCGAGAGTGCCTCTGATATGTGCTGTGAAGCGCCCCACCCAGCATCCTCCAATGCCCCTTGGCTGGCAACCCCCTAGACACTGTACCATGATCTTGGCGACCCACTGAGTGATATTCCTAATCCAACCCCAACTCACAACACGCACACCACAGTCCTAAAACCCACGTTACCCACAACACGGTGCCCCCCCCTGAGCATCCAAGCGATCCCATCTAACAAAACACCACCGCCTACCCAGACACCCGGGGGTAGCCTTTGCTTCTTCCTTCTAGTTATTGTACTGCATATCTTGGGGTTTGCTCCTGATGCGGTTCGGCTCACTAGCTTTCCGTGCTTGAAATTTAGAAGAGGTTTTACCATCACCCAACCCGTCTCCTCCAAAGTTCCTTCCAAAAGTCGACATTGTGGCTATTCATGGTTGGGACTACTGGCCTGATACAGATGTTGAATCAATACTCTCCTGACATTCTCACCACTCCCTCCGCAAGCATGGCACTCGCTCGGTTGTGGTGAGTCGTGTGATTAACACTGCGCTCCCCGGCAGAACCCGCACCCGGTAGCCCGGAGGCCCAAAAAAAGGGAAAACCTTTCATATACTAGGGTATATCATGAATTCATGGTACATAGCACTAGTAATGTCTTAGTAGATGTAGTATGCTTCAAATAAAACATCATTAGAATAATAATTCCTCTTTGGACCAGGAAGATCAATCAAGCAAAACCATGATAATGAATATTGATAAATTCATAAGCTCATAAAACTAAACACTCCTACAGGCCGGTTGTAGAGTAGTAAGTAACTCCTTAAATCCTGATTGCATTTTATTGTAACAATCCCCCTTAGGATGGTTAGTTCGTGGTAATGGGGAACGATACTTCTCTTCTCCTTCTTTTCATCTTACAATAGCAATAGGCCTCTGCCTACTTTACTGATAGTACGAGACCTTTGTCTTCTATCAGAAATGCCTATCGTAAGCTTTTTCTAACTCCTCTTCATGAAGAGTTCTCTCGGCGTAATAATAAATGTCATGATAATAATACAGAGTGCAAAGGTGTTTTATATTGGTTAAAGTAATAAGTTGAAAATGGACATAGAAAACAGCATGAAGAACCTATCCTCCTGGCAGTACTGGCCTTCTTATACAGTGTTCTTCCCACTTTAAGTCATGTAATACAAAGTAGTCACATGTACGAAACCAAATCATAACAAACATATCATATGATCAAAGTGGTTATATACTCAAATCCATGACCTCGTAGCATGGTCATGTGTGAAAACTCATAAATCAATCATAATACAATAAACAAGTCATATGACCCCAAGTAGTCACATACAGGAAACCCATGACCTCATAATGAGGTTATGTGACAAACATAAACCATATGCGTAAGGCATGCCTCAAAGGCATACTTGTAAGGAACACTCACCAGGTGCATATCCCATGACTCATACTTGAGTCATTTGTGAAACATAATAAATTGTAATATAATAAGTCAGATGACTCAAATGAGTCATACACGTAAAACAATAACATACCTATGACTTATAATCATGCATCATGTAAAAACCTTTTCCCTGCCAAGTCACATTCGTGACATTTATACACTCTCGGAACTATTGCTCGATACAAAACTCTGTTAAAGGGTTTGTTCAATCTCTTGCAAATTTGTTACCTATATCTAGAGAATATATTAGTCTATTATCAAATATTGTATTTGTTTTCTAAACATCTTATAGCTAAAAAAACACCATCAACTTGATATGAGAGGAAATCTTGGTAAAGGGTTTTGTTTAAGAGGATTTGCACTATAACACATATTTTTCTGTTGAAATGTTTCTTCAGTTGCAGTGTACCAAAGTGTGGCCTTAAAACACCTGGCACTACTCGTCCTCCATACTCTGAATTCATGATCTATCCTAGTACCATGAAATCTGAGTGAAACATAGTACTTTTATCTTGGATACTACAATTTTTTAAAAATACCACACTAGCCTCCAAATCAATAAAAATGAAAAATGAATCAAAGAAAGACACTTTCACAGAATACAAATTCAGGATTAAATTAATAAAAACTTTATAAATAGAAATAAAAGAAAAAAAGAAAAAAAGAAAATAGAAAAATAGAAAATAGAAAAAATAGAAAAAGAATTAGGAAACACATTATTGTTGCCCAAAAGTAGAGGTTCTTACATTATGCCTCCTTAGATTTCCACAAGTGCCACAGCATTGATGACGTTCCTCAACTACCACTTCTCCATGCATCCTGCAAATATACTATAGGGCTGTACCTCCATGCTCACCACATTGAGTACCCTTCCTCTTATCAGTTTGATTGGCAATATACTTGCCATGACTACCCTGTAACAGGAGTGTGAGCAGTTGTAGGTTTTCAATTGTATATATGGGCTTAAGTTTTTAATTGCATTAGTGGATTTCTTATGTACATGTGATTGGATAAGGTTGCTACATAATGGAATGTGATGGAATCTGGTAGAAGGATAGATGGGGGCTACATGGAGAACAACCAATTACTAATTGAAGAACTTTCTTTTATTATACAAATGGGGTTTGTCCCCTTGCTTTTACATTCTTTATGCAATCCGGTATTTTTCTACCTACACCTGTAGTTAGGACTTACAACTGTCTTTGACTTCGTGTCACCTAAATCCGTGAACCCTGAACCCTGGAACCCCAGACTACCTCGTACAATGTACTTGTACACCTAAACCTTCACCTGTGCTCTAGAACCTTTACCTGTACCCAATGTGTACCTGAACCTTGGTGTGCCTTAGACTGCATGACTAAAGCTCCCATTCCAAAAAATCGGGAAACCTAGAAATAAATCAGCTGTTCAGTGTCTGTTCAAAGTCTGTGCAGAGTCTGGGCAAGTCAGTGTGGAACCAGGGCCCTTATTGGCTATAAGAACATATGAACTACTTAAGCAAGAGAAGGAAGCAAGATTTCCGGCATCTAATACCAGGCAACTGCTAAAATGGATGACCTTACCTATGAACAACCATGCACGATTCATGCCATGAGGTTCACAGCAGGGTGGACACTTCAACAAATCGTGGGCAATCAGGGAGTACCAGTATCGACTGTTTCCAGGATATGCAGCCAGCTGGCAACACTGTAAATAAAGTTCTGAGTTAGCTGAAAGCTTAAGCTCAACACCACACAGAGATGAGCACTAGTAGCATTAGCTACTTCAGATGCAGAATACTGTTGGATGTGTCTTATTGATATCACCCAAGGGCTAGGCATTGAGGCTAGTGAGACAGCACTACGAAATACCTTTGCTAAGGAGGGCTACTATTGACGTTCCACCCACCGCAAGTCTTATCTAGACGATATGAAGCATACAAAGCACCTTACATTCGCCTAAATTCATAGTCATTAGAGTATACCGGAGTGGAGACATATAATATGAATGGATGAATGTTATATTTAGTTGGATAGATTGCAAGGCAAGGTGTATGTGACAAGGGCAGCAGGAGAGAAGTGGTATGAGGATTGTTTGGTCCCGAGGTTTCGGAAGGAGGATTTGATTATGATTTGGAGGGGTATATTGGGGGATGGTGGAAAGAAGATTCTGGTCATTTGGGAGCGTAATGATTAGGGTACTATCTCTGCCAAAACCTATGTTGATCATATCTTAGTCCCTACAATTTGGCCATTTTAGTATCACGACAGTTGGCGTGTGGGTTTCTCTCTTTGGCTAATGGAGGATGGAGCATCCTCCTACCGGGCCTGCCTTACTCAGTCCTATCGCGATCTCTGCAGAATCCCTTCCCTCAGATGGCCACTAGCATCACTGGATCTTAACCCTATAGAAAATATATGCATCCTCATCAAGACCCATGTTAACCAACACCAGCCACGACCTAGAAGCCATGCCCAAGTCATTGAAGCTGTAATTAATAAATGGAATAAGATCACAAAGAAGGAAATTGTGAAAATAGTGCATAGTATGCCTGAAAGGATTCAAGCTGTCCTCAGTGCCAATGAGGGACATACCCGTTGGTGAGTTGTGAGTGTGCGTGGCGGTGGTGATTCTCCTCTAATTTGAAGTTTAATTAGAAATTCTGATCGGTCTAATCCCCTGGCCTGCTCTCCTGTCAACTCCCCCTGTTTCCCGATTTTTTCTACCAGGGGCTGTATACTCAGACCTCAGCCATTACACAAGATTGTGTCTACTAGGATCTAACCCGCACCAAACTATGGCCCTACCTCCTACCGTACCAGGCCCCCTTCGTACTCTTGGGGCTTTGGAGGATGATGAGATTCAGCATATGAACGTGAAACAACTCCAGTACCAGTTTGTCCTCAGTAGGAACCTGGCTGTTATGAATACCGAGATCCGATACCTACGAACCACCCTAGGTAGGGTAACCTCTCCCGAAATCGAAATCTCAGGTCTCCAACACCCCCCTCCGGCCCCCTGACGGGGCCCGCGCGTCATCATACATATCGATCTAGGTTGCGCCCTGTGAGTATTATACCACAGAATCGAAGGTGTTAAATTAACACTGTATACGTCGCCGCCGTGCATCCGACCGGATCCTGTTCGCAGAATATATAAGAGGGGACCTTCGGCTAGGTCTGGGAAGTATAACGGAGTGAATCCGTCAACTATCCAGAAAGTTACTAGGCTTCAAGAACGAGATATCTTCGGCATGGGCCGTAAGTAACGGGACGTTTTCGCGCAAAAAAAGATGATGATGAATAGTAAAGGATCTTAATGAAAGACCAATACATTCACATCTACCCTACGATAACCAGAAGAGTCTGGAACTCCTGAAAATACTACCATCGAACCCAATGAAGTTCGAGGAGTATTACAACTAGGTTCCGGTACATACTGCAACCGAAGGGG